TAATCGCTTTACCGGGAAATTTCTGGCGGTAACTCTTCGCGGAGATTGGTCGACCTTGACACGTAAAATCTTTAACAAAGCAGAGCTATGCTCTACGTTTTAACAGATATATTTCTAACTCCGTTAAAATGGAAGACGTTCGCTCTTTCGTGCAAACTTGTAGTTACTTTATGTAATCTTGTAATATTTACAGATTCTGCTGAGAAGGAAGCTATACGTCTCGATGCACGGTTTGCGAAATTTTAATCGAAATACGCAACGCGTATGCGTCAGCGTAATCGTAAATATGGTTGCACTCTCGCGTGCATACAGGAAAGGCGAAAAAACAACCACATTACCATAGTTGAGCGATGGTTGCTGCTGTGGCACATATAGCAACTTATTATTGGACGTTGTCACTCGGAATTGCTCTATTCTTTGCTATCATCGAACAGCAGGAGCACCAACTCAATATTTTGCTTGAGCTTCGGTTGTTCAAAGCGCACACAGTTGGGACACGAATAATAACGCGAACCGAGCCGATAAATTAACCACGGGGATGTTGTTTAACTACGAAACACCCGTACTTTCGAAAACAATGATTGGCGAACGTGTTCTCCATTTGCCAGTGCGATGTTACAGGTTTCTGCTGGTCTACTATGACTGTGTCTACTCTCAGCAACACACCACAATGCACAAACTGACGTTCAGACATAGATCATGCAATAGAGTCAATGAAAGAGCCAAAACGAAGGGAAGGAAGATCGTAGTAAATACGAATGATCGTATGTGGTAAAAAAACAGAAACCACAATACCGAAGAATGTGTCGTGTGTTCTCTATCTAATGTATTTTTTGCGCCACATATGTGCGCGTGTGTATGCACCATCTGGAGTCGTGCCTCCCACGTTTCGTTCGCTCGCTTGTCATCGAAATCCAGTCAAATATGTAGCGCCTGTTCCATCCGTAAAAGTGATAATACAGACGCGTGTTTGATCTAACTTCTTTCAACGGTATACAATTGCTGCCCACGTGTTTATCTCTCTCTCTCTCTCTCTCTTTCTTTGTCCCTCTCCTTTATGTGTGTGTGTGTGTGTGTGTGTGTGTGTGTCCTTTGTCGGTGTCCTTTTGCCAGTTCCGCATGGGCGAAAACCACTCTGCTGCCTTTAGGATACTGACACCGACAAGCCCTATTTATCACTCAAGACTGATCGCTTGTTCTCTATATGTGTGTGTGTATTAACGCGGGTTTACATGCAGAGAATCATGGAGTCCTTCTGCCGGATACGGCTGTTGAGCCTGGGCGCCACGACCACGAACACGACCAATGCACCCCTCTGTATGGCGTACATGTAATTCGCCAGTGCTGTACCAATCTTCAAACTACGCTCTGATCGGTTATTGGCTGTTATCGAAAGATTGGTAGGAGAAACGTCACATTGCGAGGGAACTGAAAGCCTGAAAGATATTGATACTTTAATTTCTTTTATTGGTAAGTAAGTTAGAGTAAAAAGTAAATAGATTTTTGCTGAGATTTCTTCAATATGGTTAATATTGAACATCTTTTCATCGCGGCGAAAAGTTTATACACATGAATTTTAATTACAAATTATCAAATATCGAATCAATATGTCGAATTTTTTAAATAAGTCTGAAAAATTAGGAAACAAAGGTTATCGAACAATTTACATTAAGTTTGAAGCTACTGACTGGTTCTAAAACTACGTAGCCTGAATCAAAATCCGAAGCGATAAGCTTAGCAACATCCGCTAAATATCCATTCAGATCAGATTAAAAATAAATAAAAAGCAAAGAACAGATAGGTAGGTACGATGAGTATGTATGATCTGAATCAATGAAAAGTATCAACAAATGTTAAAAAACCTGTCTGATGTCTTTTAAAATTCAGCGTGATAAAAATGGAATCCTATTCTTGACTGTGCTCCTATATTACGTCTACTCGGCGAGTTGCCGGAGTTAAATTAATGGAAACATAATTAATTTCAAACAAAATTGTTAATTTGATACGTACAGTTGAAACAGTTTGTGCTATTAATTGCAATATACTCGAAACTTCTAAACGAAGTGCGCGCAACAATGTATCATGGAGATATTGCCTTGGACGATGCACGAACGTGCATGCACACCCTATACCGATTTTCTCCGTAACTACATACTGTATTACGATATGCCACGACGTACTATCCTCCTCATCCAAGAGGATTCGCGCTCGTCAAAGAGAATTTGTTCCTCAAGAGAACTTGTCGGCTTGATATTCGTCAATTGTATCTGTATCTTTGATGAAAACTCGCCGCCTTCCTGCGTACTTGGACATTAGCGACATTGAATTCAGCGTCGTATCGATATAGTCCATAAAGCGAGGAAGAGAAATCGCATTAAAATTTAAATGCATGAGGATCTCGTTGGCGGAGTGCGCCACTTCAATGAAAAAGCTAAAGCTAATGCCAGAATATACCAAGTCCTTGGCTTTCACGTTTTTCAGCTTGACAATTTATATATATATTTTAAATTTATATATATATTTTAAATTGTCAAGCTGAAAAACGTGAAAGCCAAGGACTTAGTAGATTCTGGCATTAGCTTTAGCTTTTTCATTGAAGTGGCGCATATATATATATATATATATATATATATATATAT